AATTGACTGAACTTAGTTGGAATGCACTAACTGGGCTCAATATCTAATGATCTTGAGCATGCATATCTCAAATTGGACTCTGTTCTGATGAGGATTCAATTTCAATTTCATTTAGTGACTCACCATGTGCCTCTTCCACTCCCAAGTAGTCTATCAAAACAAAATCAAATATTAAGCATAAGCAATGTGACAATTGGCTAAGATCATAAAGGATCACTGGAATCCAAGGGACAATACTAAATCCAGGAATTAACAGAGGAGAAGAGTGAAATGAATGCAAGAAAGGTTAGCTTTTCAAATCTACATAAAAGGGAGTGGGTAGGAGAGAGAAAGACAGAAGAAAAACCTTGATATAACAAGTACTTAAGTTGAGATTCTCCAACACTTGTCTTTCTTTCAGATCTGCAGCATTTTCAATACCTTGCTTTTAAGAGCTATACTGCTTTGATAACTAGTTCCTGTTACTAAGTGGTAACACTGTACACATTGCCAGATTGTTATTCATGCACGACTTTTCCAACGGAGAGAAGTAGCATTTATTTCGCGCAGCTGAAAAATTGGCAAAATAATTGCATCTTAACAAGAAGATGGTAGCTATTAACTTGAGGTAGAGAGAAGTGGAAAGGAGCACAAAGCTTTTAGGAAGGAATCTGTATCAGGAAAGGCAGGGCGAGTGAAAGCTCAACTATCAATTTTGGGTGGAGTGTGGATCATTAAGCCACAACATCAGAAGACTTCAGAATTTAAGGGGGGTAGAAGGCTAGAGGAGGGTTTGACTGTCAATGGAGTGACAGCAAAAGACTGAAAGAAACATCATGGACTTTGAACACCTTACTTGCTCAATTATTTGCTAAGCTGAATGCAGTCAAAAATGGGGAAAAGTCCTGAAGTATTTTGAGCAGTTAAATCATTTCATACTTCGTTCATTGGTGTATTTTCCTTTTGAAAATTAAGGACATATTTATTATGATAAAATTTTGCAAGTAAAAACAGATTGTAATTGTATTGGTAAATGTTTGGAATGCCTCTCACATTACTAAGTTGCATCTATGTCCAACTCAGAGGTTTTCAACGAGTGTGCCTCATCAAGGTGAGAAGTGTGCCACCAAAATCTTGGGAAGCAGAGGGCTTCGCGTAGACTTCTGATGCCACACATGCATAGAAATTGGCCAAACACTCGGTCTGAGAATACGTCATGATCGAGGAGCATATGCACAGTAAAGAGGAACTCAATTGCTGAATAACTGTTGAACTAGCCTGCCCCCTGGACATTTTCCCTATTTGCACAGATTTTAAGGTAAATATTTTTGGATTTTCTTTAAGTTAAGCCACTGATCTGAGTAGAAATGAATAAGTAGTTGCAAGCGTGTTGTTGCAAATCTCTCTAGTAAGGCTGAAACCATAGTAAATATATATAAGCGTGACATTTATGAGCAATCAATTCAGCTGAAAAAAAAGTGAATGTGCTGTGGAATTGTTTATATTACTGAAGCAAGCCTTGATACTAAAAAGGTTGGGAACCACTGATCTAACTTACAAAGATGCAATTTAACCAATCTGCACATAATTTACTAAAATTGCAGATTATATTGTGCAATAGACAGGAAATTGTATATGTATATGTATTTATTCTCCACTTATATCCACACCGTAAAAGGCATATTGTTCCCAACAACACTCAGCTTTCAGTTAATGGTGCAGACTAGATTCATTACATATACTATAAAAGGAAATGGGTACAAACCATAGTTATGAGTTAGTAACATTTTAAAAATACATGTTATATATGTATTCATTTGCAAATCACTGAAACTAAAATTGAAGGCTGTGAATATGTCCAAGTGGGAAATGTCAAAGCTTAGCAAGTTAATATGCAAATTAATTTAATCAGATTAGTTACTTAATGGTAAACTATATAATATACAAAAGATTTATCACAAAATATGTTTCATTCCTAAAACAGAAGAGTAGAGTACTTGTATGACTCACTTCAAGAACCAATACATATCCCACAGATTTTAGTGCATTTGCTGCCAGTTTTAATTCATGTATACTCAAGAAAATTACTGAACTGAAACAAAAATAGAAGTCACTACAGAGTTTCAGAAAGCATTGTTACCTGTACACAAAAGAAACAGACGGCTATTTAGAAATAAACAAGGATTCAAAGAAAAAAATCACCAAGTGTTTTGTTCATTGCATATCTCTACTTCCAACAAAGAATGATGCAATTTGAAATTGTTTAAAACTAATATCAGAAAATTTACTTCAATTCTACTTTCACACTTTACAAAACCAAACCCAGCAATATTGCTTATACAGAACCAACAATAATTTTCTTTTACATTTTCCTCCCGATCATCTGCTAACTCAATGAAATCTCACTAGCACAGGTCCGCTGTACTGCTTCACTATTATCCTAGTTGAGCTTAGTCAGCACAGATTTAGAGTCAAACCAAGGGCATTCCTGGATTGTGAGGTTCAGCTAAACAATGAATAAACTTTAAGCTATTGGGAAGCATTCAAATGCATTTAAATCTGTGAATGTGGTTGGTTCTGTTGAATCTCTTGATTTTAGAGGTTACAAAATTCTGATTGCGTATCAAGGCAATTCTGTTGCTGTTCAGAGATTTCTCAGTCTCCCTGGTAACACACTCCAATAAGGTACACAGATTTTAAAAGTTAATATACTCAAAATCATTGCCCATTGTCTACTGACAGCAATAAGTCACAAATCACAATTGTTTCCAATGTACATTACCAGATGAACTCAAACAACTCTGTGCTGCCACAGAACAAATATTGGTTCTCTTCTGCTTTAAAATTGTCTTTATCAATCACTGTTATTCGGATGAAGAGACAGTGCTACAAATTCTTCATATTAATGATGCTGGAGTTGCTCTTCATGCTTACCTACTGCAAACAAGCATACCGTACGTAACTCATTTAGTTCAGGTTTACATGTTCAAAAAAGTGCAAAAGTTACATATTGCATACAAAAATTTGGATTGCAATTAGCAAAATCAAACTCTTACAAAGACTCATGCCACTGAAATGAAGATGTCAATTTTTATGATGGTTGCAAGTTCTTTAGAGTACAACGATTAGTCTGGCTGCACCGAGAGGGAGCAAAAAGCCAGAGGATCAATAGAAATTGGTCCCTGAGCATCATCAGCACAATTGTTGGCAGCTATCCTCAGGCAAGTCTTTAAAATAGATTTGCATCAAGTTGCAATTCCTATTGAATCAGGGGAGCACTTCTGCTCCTACTGGCTCCAAAAAGCAAGGTTTGTGAAAAGACTAAATGCTTGGTCAAAGAGATCGACAAAAAGATGGGAAAGCAAAGCCAGGCTTGCAGCTTTGACTTAAGCAGATGAAAGCACATTCACCAACAATTGACACCCAAGAGGCATAATTTGGAGGTATGTAGCTCTCAAAATGTTAGAAATTGGAGGTAGTTACACATCTAGATCCAATAATGTGATTTAAAGTATGTCTGATGGACTGACAGTTAATGTAGGTCAACAACTACATTACGTGGAGGACTGGATGCATTTAATGGGCAGTAGAATGGTGGAAAATGGAAAGAGAAAATTGAAATACTTTAGGAGGAGAAAAAGAAATTAATCTGTAGCAAAAAGGTGAAAATAGGCAATGTTATGGATATTAAAGGAGATTGATATAAGCTTGAATCTTGTTATGGGGTCAAAAATGGCATTCAGGCTGTAAACAGTCAGCCTTGATTGAAGACACGCACCAGGGCAAAAACAGAATCAGTAGGGGAAATAGACAATGATTTCAAGCTTTCCATTGTTTTAGTAGAGGAAATTGTAGCTCATCTGGGACTGTTTAGACGTGAAGCAGATTGATAAAAAGGAACACTAAGTTGCTTGAGACTTAGTGAAAACTTTGGGTTTTCAGCATACATGTGGAACCTGACACCAAGTCTTCAGATAATATTGTCAAAGTACATCTGGAGATAGGAAAGAGGAAGGGCCTAAGCCAGACAGAAAAGTCGAGATATTACTAGATGGCTATAGTTCAATCGGTAACACCAGAACCAAGCAAGGCTGTCCTTCTCAAATGGAGAGTTGAGAGACATCGAGTGGTGGTCAACTGTGTGAGAGGTTGCAGGAAAGTTGAAGAAGACCAGGAAAAATAGCGCATCATAGTCACAGAGGATGCCATAACAGTTATTGATTAGGGTTGTTCAAGTTACATGACAGGGTGAAAAATGGAACTGCGATGAAAGTGAGCAGAGATATCAGAGGCAACAATTTTACATAAAAGACCTAGAAAAGCAAAGGGGAGATGGGACAGTAATATGCAAGGTCAAAAGTGTCATTTGGGGAAGGAGCAATGAAAACAGTTTTGAATAGCAGCAAAAAAAAACCATTTACAATGTCACAGACACTGGTACAGGAATAGCTAAAATAATTAGAAATAATAATCAATTTACATATGGCATTATGATTTCCAGTGAATCTTTGTTGAACCAATAGTGTAGTTTTATGTCTCAGATACAAACATAGACAATTCATATCTTTAGTCAAATTGAAGCAACAGATAACCTCTCCATCAGGTGGTTAACCATTGAGATTTAAAATTCTCACCCTGAAATCACACTGACACTTCTCTTTGTAATGGACTCCAGCTAAGGCAAGAAACTTTAAAGTATAATACTCCTCCTGATCTATCCTTAAAAGGGAAAAAAAAATTTATTCTTAGAATTAAACCATCTCGTGAACAGTTTTTGCAGCTCACCTGTTGGTTCATGGAAGCAAACAACAGACTCAATCCCACATCCAATTTCAAGCAGGTGGCATGATACAGGAAAGTTACAGCAATAGTTAAACTAGCCTTGGTGCCTGTAATTAATGCTGAAAGGGAGTGTATCAACACGCAAGAGAGACTTATTTAAATGGTTAAATGCAATGGTTATTGCTACTTAATTACCCAAACACTGCTATTGGTTGTTTCTGTTCATGAAGAATACCTACCTGAACCAGGTTGTGAGGGCTGCTATTGTGCATCAAGTTGTTCCCAGAGCAAGTCATTGCCTTCTGGGGGAGCAAGAAAAATATCAACAATTCAATTAGTTAACATAAAAGTGGCTTACCTGAGATGAGCTGCTATGCCCATCACAGGTTTGTAGCATGACTTGGTTAACCCTTTGACAGGGGTATAACAACTCACTCCAGAGTACGTAGAACATTCTTTGTTCCAGTCCTGTTCAGGTGCTCTCCTCCTTCCGCACACCCCCTCCCCCCGCAACACATTGATCTCAGTACCATTTCCTCTTTATGCCCCAAACTGAAAATTTCCAACAATAGTGCTGCCAATTTCTACCTTCCCATAGCAGGTTACTAGCTCTTCCTTTCCTTTACTTCCACCTTCATTTTTAGGTGTAGGCTACCAAACAATTAACTCCCAGTGATCTTATCTTCCACAGTGCTTCCTGCAAGGATTCCATTCAATTCATCTAGTTTTCCTGTTTCCAGTACATTTGTTCTAATAATGTCATCTTCAAAACAATGCTTCTGTTACATCCACCTTTGCAGCCGACAGATCATCCACCACAATTTCTGCCACCAAAGCAACTTGCTCTGCGAAAGATTATTCCATGACACCCTGATTCACTCGATCATTCCGTTATTACTCTTATCCTTTACACAGTTCCTATCCCACTATCCAAGATCCCAAATATTCTTCCAGAACTGCAGTGAGTAAATCAAATAGATTGGGTGATTGCTGTGTAGAACACCTCCATTCAAAGAGCAAGCGTGGCCTTGAGCTTCTGATTGCTTATCATCTTAATTCTCCCCCCACTCTGAATGTTCTGTTCTCTGCAGCCTATATTGTCAATGTGGTACCAAGATTTATTGGAACAAATAGGCACTTTATGGCCTTTGAGACTGGGAGTTCAACAATTTCAGATCATAATCTCTACCAGGATATTTTCAGATGACAGCAGTTGGCAACGATTTTGTTATTGCCTCTTTCTCCTCTAAGCATCTTTTGCTTCTCATTCATTATCATCTCCTCAAACCATCGGCTCTTTCGTCATTTAAGGTCTTATCTCTTCCATTCTCTTACCCTTTTGTTCTCGCTCTCCCCCCCCCCGCTTTCTATACTTGTTTAAAATCTATTGCGTCTCAAACTTTTCCCAGGTCCCTGTTCACAATGCTGGCTCACCTGAGCGTTTCCATCTTGCTATTTCCGTTTAAGCTTTTCAAAATGTCTTTCTGTTACCAACCTAGCCTGAATCATCGTAAAAGTTTTCAGTGGATCTATTCAGGCGTCTCACAGCATCAAAATAATTAACACTGGATTTTAATTATGGATATAACCCATCACTGCAGTATTAGTGATGTGCTGCTGTTAATACCTTGGAAATGAATTTTCTTTTTCAACCCCACATTATTTAATCAGGAAATTGAATCCACCTGATAATCTGTTAAAAGTTTTCACTCCCCCAACTGTTTCAATCGTTACATTAAAAAGGACTACTCTATTGCCCGATTAGGATGGCTGCAAACATCTGAAACGTAGTAATTTGTATTGAAACAGACTCAATATTTCGCAATTGCTTGCAGAATTAACGTGAAACAGTCAAATAAACGTATCCCTTTGTATCAAATGTCAGTAAACATGCAAATTTTAAATTGAGGAACTCTTATCTTCAGGAACACTTTTAGCTCTTTAGAGCTGGAAATGTTGATCTAGAAACTGGGGGGGGGGGGGAGTGGAGGCAAGGAAATACAATTTAAGCCTGCAGGGGTCCAGATAGTCAGATCGATTAATTTGAATGTAACTATCCAATGTTGTCTCGGCAATGTCTGAGGCAGCAGCTGCTGCTGGCCTCAAGCCAGGTCCCTTCTTGACCCGAGAACCAGATGAAACCCCCTCAGTCAATAACTCCTCACCATCAGCCCCAAGTCCAGAGCTCACAAGACAAAACCAGCTCAGTACCACTGGCTGCAATGTTGTCCTTCAGCTGCCAAGATCAAGACTTGTCCTCGCCAGAGACACTGGAAAGGGCAAGCCAGGCTAAGACAAAGCTCCTTAATCCCTCATGGTAATTAGTCATTTAATCACTCAAAGAATACATTTAAAAATGGGTATTCCTCTTCATTCCAACGTATCAGGAATGTTTTAAAAAAAATGCAAACATAAACCAGAATTCTCCTAATATGCATTGTCAGGCGTTAACATGCATAAAGCCGAGATACTTGTTCATAAAGAGGAACGTAGCATGCATTTTTCAGCAAATAAAAGTAATACGTAATAAAAAAAAGAGTAATAACACCCACAATGTTCTCTAAAAGATAACATTTAAATCCACTTGCAAGCGTGTTACTCACCGGGCAGGGAGTCCGAGGGGATGATGAGGTGTTGCTGTTCTTCGATTTTGGTTAAAGAAGGAATCGCCCACGTCTCTTTGCTGATTAAAGTGAACTTTCCTGCACGGTTACCGTGGGCAACTCCTGTTCCCCCGGAGTCCAAGCTTCCGCGCTCCGGCTTCCCTGCGCGCGCACACACAGCTGATTGACATGCGCGCGCACGTGGCTGATTATGCAGGCGCGTGCACACACAGCTGATTGACAGGCGCGCAACAGCTGATGGGCAGGCGGGCGCAGCGCGCGCTCCCTGATGGCCGACGCGCGCGCGCGCCCGCTAGCCCAGCCTGACAAACTCCCCCTAACGTGCCGTGGTCATTGTCTCGACTTTCCCTTTCTTTGCAAGGCCGCTGCTCAGGCACCCAGCTGCTGCTCTAATGATCCATCCGTTCGTTCACGCTCCGAGATAACATGCTGCGATCCCGGAGATCATGTTCATTGCAGCAGGACCGACTCGGCATCCTTAGTATCCTAACGTCGGCTAGGGTTGCAGTAGTCCTTGCAAACGGTGCGGAAACTGTGACCCCTAGAGGACAACATTTATGGTCACGTACTCGCCAGAAGCTTATTTGTATATTACTTCACTCAGAAAGCTCCAGGAACAGCACCTCATCTAACACTTGGGAATTCTATACCCTTCCAGCCTCAAAACTTACGTGTACCAACTTCAGATCATACTGTGCTTCAATCCCCTCCGGCTCTGTACTTGATTATACGCTGTCAAATCTCTAATTTCTTACATTTTTGATGATGGGCCTGAAAGGCTAATTCGTTCCTTTTCTGCAAATGTGGCCTGACCTCGATTTTTTTCAGCACTTTCTGTTTTTATTTAAGTTTGGAATGTTTTGGTTCTATTTAAGAAGTTGCTTACACAGCCCAAAGTACCTCAAAAGTACAGGGTTCCAACACATCAATATCAAATAGACGTATTCGCTCCGTTACTTAAGCAAGAAAATAATTAGGTTTCATATCACTAACTTCAAATGTCATTCTAGGCAGATGCCCAGCAATGAAAGTGTAATTTACTCTAATACAAAAACTGACTCAGGTAACTTTTTTGAATGTCTGTATTTTTCCAGACAACTCTCCTGCCTTTTAAAAGTATTCTTTTGATAACTTCAGAGAAGTTATATTCCCTTACACTCCATATTGTCTGTAAACTTGATTTCATTCCACTTATAGCCTCAATAGTTTTTCCCAATCGCATCTATAATTATGTCAGAACTCTCACAATTTGTGCAAATAACTGCTGAAGTAGGTACAGTGTAAGAAAATACTAAGATTCATATCTCGACTTTATCTGATTTTTCTCCATAAATCATCCAGCCTGTTCTTTCTTTTGTCCTATAAGATACTATAAGATACTTTTGTCCTATAAAATACATCTCCTCATCACATTTTATGTATTTTTTTGGCTTGTTTTCTACTTTCCTACTGCATCTATGAAACACTGGAAGACCTTTTAAACATTAAAACATGTTATATAAATGCATTTCTGCAATCATCCATGACCTTGAAGTGCAGGTTCATAGTTCCTTGAAAGTGAAGTTGCAGGTAGAAAGGATAGTGAAGAAAGTGTTTGGTATGCTTGCTTTTATTGGTCAGTGCATTGAGTACAGGTGTTGGGAGGTCATGTTGCAGCTGTACAGAACATTGATTCGGCCGCTTGTGGAGTTATGCATGCAGTTCGGTTCTCCCTCCTATAGGAAGGAAGTTGTGAAACTAGAAAGGGTTCAGAAAAGATTTATGAGGATGTTGCTGGGATTGGAGAATTTGAGCTCTCAGGAGAGGCTGAATAGGCTGGGGCAATTTTCCCTAGAGTGGAGGTTGAAGGGTGACCTTATGGAGGTTTATAAAATCATGAGGGGCATGGAAAGGGTGAATAGTCAAGGTCTTTTCCCCGGGGTGGGGGAATCCAAAACTAGAGGTCATAGGTTTAAGGTGAGATAGGGAAGATATAAAAGGGACCTAAGGGCAACCTTGTCATGCAGAGGGTGGTGTGTGTATGGAATGAGCTGCCAGAAGCGGTGGTGGAGGCTGGTATGATTATAATATTTAAAAGGCACTCAGATGGGTATATGAATAGAAAGGGTTTAGAGGCATTATGGGGCCAAATGCTAGCAAATGTGACTAGATTTACATAGGGTATCTGGTCGGCATGGATGAGTCTGACTGAAGGGTCTGTTTCTGTGCTGTATATCTCTCTGACTCTATGACTCTATAAAGGATTTGTGAGAAGTCAGATTAATAGAAAAGCTGTATTATATGATTTATAAATAGGACATTTTCCAAACTGTAATTTAAATAATTTAACTTTTACATGTTTCATGTAGTGATTATTACATTATAATTACAAAACAGAAATATTAACATGAAAATTTATAATAACTCATGAAGAAAAGTAATAATCAAATATCTTTTGTGCTTAAAAATAATCATATTGACACTGTCCATAAGTTCAAATGTTTAAATTTGAAACATTTAAATTGTTTTATGTTAAGTCTACTTACACCAATAAACAGAAAGCTGTTAAAAGCAGAGTTGATTGTGTGAGTAAATACTCAAATACACAAATCAACAATGTTTCATAAGTGATGTTTAGTTTTGGCTGAAGCAGCTAATAAAGCAACAACAATTGGCACCTATATAATACTGTTAACATGAAAAAATGTCCCACTTCACAGATTGATTATACAACAAAATTGGGCTACAGGAGGTTAAAGAGGAATGAGGTCATGGAAGAATTTAAAAACAACAATGATTTGAAATTATGTTATTGCTTGACCAGTAAAAATATAGGAGATGGATGAATGGGAATTTGTTCAATTAGGATACTGCCAGCAGAGTTTCGGAGGAACTCAATTTAGATGAGAAACCAAGCAGGAAAGCATTGGAATAGTCAATTATTGAAGCAGCAAAGGCGCAGATGAAGTCTTTAACAGCAGATAAACTGAGATAGAATATAGAGGAACAAAGATCCATCTTTGGGGGATTCCAGAAGTATTCGTGCAGCAGTGGTAAGTGAAGATATAACAGCATCTCAGGAGTACTTTGTGTCCCTGGTCCAGAAAGGAGGAAAACTAATAAGATCTATGATAGTAATATCCTACTATGCTGGTAAAAATATGCGCATGCTTGGACAAGCGACAGACAACATTAGGCAGCATCATCATATTCCAGTGAGAAAACTTTTGTCTAGTATCAGATATGATGAATGGCCATTTGGATTAGCTATGGAAAAGCTGATACCATGAAGTTCCACTTCATCGCCATCAGTAATTTCAGTGGAGGTGGGTGGTGGACGTGAGGATTAAAAAAAAAGCCTTTGCAGTAGAAGTATACAAGTTTAAACTATCTTTGCAGGGATGAGGGAGCCAAATTATACTAGATAGGAATACAACGTCCACTAAATATTGGGAGAGACATCAAAATAGAGTAGGAAATAGGAAGATGTCAAGCCAGTTGAGCCTAAGAAGTAATGAAGTCTAAATTAGAGTGACTGTGCATTTGTGTGAGTATGTGAAATGTGGTAAATAAAATCGGTCATTTGAACATATATATAGCTGTGTGGAAATATAATATTGTATTGATTAGCAGAAAGCTGGCTCAAATAAGGGCAGGACTTGATAATAAATTATCCAAAATATAAGGTGCTCAGGAAAGACAGGGAAGTAAGGAAAAGAGGATTGATCAAGGAGGATACTGGAGTTTTGGAGAGGAAAGATGTCCGGGAGGGGTCAAGGACAGATCTATTTGGTTTGACTTAAGGATAATTATAATGCCCAGAGTATAGGTATGGGCCACCAATTGATGTAAAGATGTAGAAAAGATGTAAGGAACAAATTTGCAAGCAAATTACAGCAACTCACTTCAACACACAACATCTTTTATTTTGAAGGACAAAAGCAGCAAATGCATGAAATTACCACCACCTGCAAAATCCCTTCCAAGCCACAAACCATCCCGCCTGGGAACTGTATGATAACTCTTTCACTGTTGCAGATAAAAATCCTCAAATTCCCTTCTTAACAGAACTGTAGGAATACCTGAGTCAGTGGTTCAAGTGGCAGCTCATTTCAGCCTCCTCAAGGGCAATTAGGAATGGAAAATAAATTTTGCTGCAGACAATGATGCTCACATCTCATGAACAAATATGTTTTAAACAAGTGCATTAATTATTAAATAGTTATAATAGTGGACTTTAATCATCGGAATAAAGACTGGGGAACAATCCATAAGGCAATCCATTCCACAATCTAACAAAGTTTCTGCACAAAATGTCTTTCCAAACGCCCTGCCTGACAATTTCAAAATTGATAACTCTTTCGTGCATTTGGAAGAAATAATCTTTCTTTATTATTCCCAACAATCCCATTATAATTTAAAAGAAATCTTTCAAATCTTTTCTTTTTAAGTAGAAGTACTCCTAATATATCAAATTTATCTTCTTAAATTACTTTCTATTTGGTGAATTCAGGCTAACAATCTCCATGCCTTTAAAATCTTTCCTATAAAGGTCACTGAAAAAATTGCACTAGTACTTTAGCTATGGACTAACCATTGCCTGACAAGTTTATCAGACATTAGTTATTTACATTTTACTAAAAGCTGATCACCTCAACCCTTGGAAAAAAATTAACAGCAGTTCTTAACAGATATGATTCATGCATTTTGGGTTGAATTAAAGGTTTAATTAATGCTTAATATTTCAACTTCAGCAACTGAATTTGGCTATTATGGCACTGATTGTTGTATGATGATGAGTTAATAAATACTATGGTAATTAGTGGACTATACCATCAATCATGCTATCAGATGGAACCTGGACTCAAGCGTTTAGGATCTTAGAATTCCATCTTCTACACTTTTTTGTGTATAGTGTTACATACAATAAGGATTGTCAATGGACTACCATTCATCGACAAACATGACCCAATCTTACTAAAATTACGAGTTCAGCACAGTTTCTATTAGAGTCATCAAGTTGAAAAGTTTCAATGGGATAATTCAGGCATGATAAAATACAATGGGCTGTTACATTAGGTAATGGAAGCTAATAGGGTTTTTACAGTAGTTGAGTGTAGTCTTAAGTATCAACAATCTGACCTGTAGCAAGCCAACAATGTTAAAGATTTAAAAATTGTAGATTTGCAAAATTTACTATTTTGTTGAGCAAACTAAATTTATAAGAAGTGGGATAAAAACCAGTAAAGAGTGGCACTCAATGTTTAAATATGATGTCCAACAGGAGAATGTTACATTTCCCAAGGATGTGATATCTCTACCCTA